GGAAGAATATGGCAACTCTTCTATTTTGTACCCACACTAATGTGTAGCCCGTGCGATGCACGGGAACAATATTATAAATAGACCTCGAGTTTGAGTCACTCAATGACGGAAGTGGAAATTTACTATTGATCCTATTTAAAAAGAGAAAGAAAAAAAAAATTATAAATTAAAGAAGAGGACAAACAATATTAATAATTATAAATTAAAGATTCGGGGTCAAACAAAATAAAAATATTTTGTATAAGAGAATATGAAATTTACATTATTTTGTATAAGAGAATATAAAAGTTGTATGTTTAATATTAAAAACACCTAAAATATTATATTAGTATATGTAAAAGTATTCAAAATTTTCTATATTATTTTTGAAAGATGTGAAGTCACCTACAACTTTTCTAACAATTTTAGAATGAAAACATATCTAAAGACATTTGAATTTAACATTGTGTAAAAAAAAATTTTCTAGACTATTTTGTAAAGAAAACATGTCTACAAATATTTAAATTTAACATCAATTATGTGTATGTGTATATGTATATATATATATCTATATATATATAAACGAATATGTAAAAAAAATGTCTAAAAAATTTGTTTAAAATATCTAAAATATTATAAGCATAATCTAAAAAAGACATTATGTCAGATGATACCAAATTTATGGCGTTACTTCCATCTAAAAAATTGATTATACACCATTATTATTATACTTTTTAGATGTATTGTTAGCTTATAATATTTGTAAAATATTAGTAATTAGACCGATGAAAATTAGCTTTATAAAATAGATAATGATTTCTAATAGTAATTATGAATTGGTTTTTATTTTATTTTATTTTTTTAAATCTTTATAGATAAGAGATTGTTGTAGCACAAATTGTTATTTTTACCGAGTACCGAATCGAAAGATTCGTTCCCCGGGTCGATCTCTCGAGGAAGGCTGTTCGGAATCTAACTTTGGTATTGATTGCACAGAAAAAGAAAATGAATCCTACACACTCTAATCAGATAAGGGATGGAATAATTACTAACTAAGAAATAATAAAAAGCAATATTAGGATTTGAGGAGCTAGGGAATCGGGGATAATTAATTAAGTTCTAGCAAAGTCGGGCAGTCAATTGTTCGGTTCGAGATTGACACTCTCGCTTAAACATCTAGCGGTTCGCTCCCAATAACTTTTCGTAACAAGGGATTGAACATAGACGAACAAGCTCGAGCATACAACACAGGCCGATTATCCCAATCCCAATAACTTTTCGTAACAAGGGACGGGTCATCGACAAGCACGTATTTCAATCTCAACCCATAGATTATTCAGCTACGAAATCATCTATCTCATGCGAGCCTAGGTCTACGACTTCTCCCCTTTCGGTTCTAAAAGTCGCTAATTCAATTAGAAGGTAATTAATCAACTAATCATATGGAATTAACAAACCCTAACTCGACAAATCAATATTCAATTGTTACCAATTGCAAGATCGAAGTGTCACCCTTCGATTATATCAAACTATCAAGCACAAATTCATCAATTCCTAATCAATTCAACTCACATAAGCATGAACAATCTTGAGCCCGACAAATGCACGTTAAACAAGAACAATCATCTTCTATCCCTAGCAATCAGATTTAGCTACGTAAATTCAATTCAACAATCATAATCATAGTCATAGCTCTCAAATAACCATTATTCATGAATCAAATAAGAGAAATGAATACTTACAATCAATCCAAGTTCCAAAGTTGAATTTGAATTACAAGCTTAATCCCTTGATAAGGAAGAAGAAAAATAGAAGAAAGTGATGAAAAGAAGACGAAAAACGATGAAGAAGAAAGGAAAAGAAGAGAAAGAGGAGATGGGAATTTTCTGTGTTTCTCGGGACCTAGGGTTTTCACCCCGGTCGAGAGGTGTTTTTGAAATGAGAATCGCGCACGGCTTTTATAGTGTCCAAGGCTCCCTGCGCGGGACAGGGCATCGCGGCGCGTGGCGGAGCGGTGGCGCGGCGTGGTGGTACTGCGCGGCGCGAGGAAGGGCATTGTCGCGGCGCGAGGCATGGCCACGGCGTGGTAGGAGCGGTCTTCACGGCGCGAGGACTCTGGCGCGGCGCGGAGCAGGCCTGGGGCACGGCGCGGGAGTGTCACGGCGTGAGTGCGGGAACAGATGTTGCAGTCCGGGTCGTGGTGCTGGCGCGGCGCGGTAAGGCACGTGTGGCGCGGCGCAGGGCCTGGGCATGTGGGCAGCTCGCACAGCTTTGCTTCTCGGGTCCGTTTGAGCTCGTTTCAACTCGGAATTCGATTCCGCTTTTTCCTGTGTGCTCCCAACGAACTCCTCTATCTAATTACGCTTGCCCGACTAATTTTTGCCTGAAATCCTGTCCTCCCTAAGCTTTCGACCTACACACCAAAAATGAAAGAAAAATGAAGGAAACCGAAAAAATACACGAAAAACACAGAAATACTCACAAAGACGCGAAACACGAAATAAACGACAAAACGACTCTATAACCACATAAATGACTCAAAATGGGGGAAAAAGAACGAGAAAACAGACACAAAAAACGTAACAAAAATGGGACAAACAGAGATGTATATATGCAATGAGATTTTGTAACAGATAAGAGATAAACTCTAGATTTATGCTATGAGATTTTATAACGCGATTTTCAATACCAAAAAATAGGAAAAAGGAAAACAGTTTTAAACTCGTGAGACGTATGCAATGAGATTTTGTAACAGATAAGAGATAAACTCTAGATTTATGCTATGAGATTTTATAACGCGATTTTCAATACCGAAAAATAGGAAAAAGGAAAATAGATTCTAACACAATTAATTAGCCGATTTTATTGCCTTATCAATATTGTCCAACAATTACAATATATAGGATACATTTAATGTATTTGGCGGGAAAACATTTCTAAAATTATAAAAAGGTTATTCTTTTTATATAATGATAGATGACATAAATAATTTGATGATGCATGAAAGATGTTTGCATCTTGTGTAGATGTAGAAGTCATCCTAAACAACTTTTATTATATATTATATTATTTATTCAATTTATCTCATTTCTTCAATCAGTTACACTTTTACACATCATAATGATATAGTAGCAAGTTGTTGATTGGCATATTCAAAATAACCAAATTGTTGGTTGATAATGTTCAAAATAAATACAAAAAAAATTGTTCAAAATATATACTGTAGCAACAACCAAGGGGTTTATCTTTTGACAACCACAAAAATGTAATAAAGTCTTTAAAAAACAACAAAAGATTTAAACTCGTTACAATGTAGAAAAATATTTTCCAAATTTTAACAACAAACATATTCAAACCCAAAACAAAAATAGTTCACCCATAATATAAAAATCAATCTCATTTGCAACCAAGGCTTGTGCATATCATTCCTTAGCTCTTCACACAAACTTCTTGAAAATCATCCTTGTTCTCATAACCCTTTGCTCTTAAAAATAATAAATAGAAATAAACACAAATGACACAAAAAACTGTACAAATCAACACAAAAACATAAGGGTAAAGTCCACTTTTGGTCCTCCATGTTTAGGGGTATCCAGACTGGGTCCCTATTATGTTTTGGTGCCCAATTTTAGTCCTTAAAACAAAAAAATGAGTAGTGCCTAATTTTAGTCCTTAAAACAAAGACATGTAGTCCCTATAATAGGGAAAAATCCACTTTTAGTCCTCCATGTTTAGGGGTATCCAGACTTAATCCCTATTATGTTTTGATGCCCAATTTTAGTCCATAAAACAAAAAAATGTAGTCCATTTATCTCAATTTCTGTGAATTAACGGTCAATTTTTGTTCGACTGTGATGTTCTTTATTTTTTAAAAATTTGTTGATTAATGTCAACTTTGACCAAAGAAAAATAAAAGAAAATTTGAATGCTGAAAATATATTAATAAAAAATTAAACTAAAACAAGAAATTGCACCAAATTAAATTAAAATTTTTGCTCGTCTAATTTCTATTTCCCTAGCATTCGCGCTGCGGAGCAAGCCTGGAATCACAGCTACTGCTCTTGCACCCATTTCCGGGTCATGCCATAAAAAAAAATTGCACCTATCAACCCTCTGTTTTTTAACCATTTCTTATCATATTCCAATTGAAGTTCACAGAAAGTACTTACAGGATATAGAGGGCAACTCAAGAATCTTCTCCCGGGATTATCATCCTTCCAGCATGTAGTCAACTTTGCAACCAGCTCACATCTACAAAATACCACACCATTTCCATCCATTTGATCGGATTTAGTCTCTAGGCGGTCAGGTTTTTTTTTCCTACGTTTCACTGCAGTTCACCATTTCTGCCTTTTATTTTACCTTTTTTCAGCATTTAAATTTTCTTTTATTTTTCTTTGGTCAAAGTTGACATTAGTCAATAAATTTTAAAAAAATAAAGAACATAACGGTCGAGCAAAAATGGACCGTTAATTCACATAAATTGAGGTAAAGGGACTACATTTTTTTGTTTTAAGGACTAAAATTGGGCATCAAAACATAATAAGGATTAATTCTCGATACTCCTAAACATGGAGGACTAAAAGTAGATTTTTTCCTATTATAGGGACTACATTTTTTTGTTTTAAGGACTAAAATTGGACACCAAAACATAATAGAGACTCAGTCTGGATATCCCCTAAACATGGAGGACTAAAAGTGGACTTTTCCCAAAACATAATAACAACAATTTGACAAAAACATACAATAACACAACAAACAACATTATTACGAAAGACCACTATCACAAAACAAATACAACCAGTTAACTTCAAAAAGTCAATTGGTTACCTTAAAAACATTAAAAAAAAATATCATTTGTAGTAACATGAACAATACAGAAATTATAATATTAAGCGCGTTTGGATATAAAGAAAAAGGACACAAAAAAAAAATAAAAAAATAAAAAGGAATAAGAACCCTAACTTTCCTCCACATCATCGTCATCATCTTTATTCTCATTGCTATTCACCATTGTTTCTTCATCNAGTAGGCCAAGTACCTGAAATAATTAAGCTAAAACTTGATAGGGATAGGAGACCCCAATAACTCAAGCCAAACACCCAATTTAAAGGGAAAAGAAGACACGAGTTGAAGACCAATCGAAGAAGAGGTCGTCATATAGTCAAATTGGCTTCTCTATGTACATATTGGATCCTAATGCTTCAATCCCTTTGAACCAAGCAGTGAATGACCTTAACTAGCGCTTCATGATCTCCAAATTTATTCTCGGTACCAAGAACCATTGTTGCCATGCATTGGTTGTCGACCTCCGCAATAACTTAGCGATAGCCCTTGTTCCATGCTAGCTGCAGCTTTCGAAGAAGATCCCAAAGCTCGGCACTTGTAATGGTGTAATAGTCAATATTCATGAGAAAATCCGCAATCTATTTACCCAAGTCATCCCGAAAGAGCCCTCCCACACTACTCAAGCTCGTAGAATTATCAAAGACATCATCGGTATTTACTTTTGATCCACCCCAAATATGGCGGAAGTCAACCATATTTTTAAAGAGTAAAAATGAAAAAAAGTTATTTATTGTGAAATCTTTCAAAAACAGAACATAATAAAATGTTGCTAGAAGGCACAGCTCATTTCATTTTGATCCTCCAAACTTCCCCATATTGCATAATAGTCCCCAAAAGAGTTACAAATTACTTCTCTGCTGTCCTACCGAACCAAAGCGTCCTCGCCGGTTTTCATGGCCGCCACCATCGTATCTCTCCATGCCCAGCCTATCTCCTCTCATCGGCGAACTGAGCTCCATTCTCCCTTCCCCAATTCCTCCGCCGTACCCACCGCCGCTCCTTTCCTCCGTCTCCGCCCAACCGCTCTTATCCTTCGCGTCGAGGTTAAATCTTCTCCCGGAGCAAAGTACTGTTAATCCTCTCATCCCATAATGAAAATTCGATCGGTAATTTGATTTCTCTATATCTGCACAGAGAAGCCGATTTCGGGCATGCCAAGCTCACTCTCGCAGTGGCATGGTAATGGGCGATTACGGAGATGACGACGACGATGACGACGACGAGAGTGACGATGAGGAAGGCGAGGACCGGAGCTTGGACCTTCTGATTAGGTTTGTGGAGAATGTGTTCAGAAAGGTGTCCAGAAAAGCACGCAGGGCCGTCAAATCTGTTCTGCCCGTCCCCATTTCAGCCAGATTGGTACATCATTTGACCTAAACAAAATTACTTCTTTAATCTTTCATTTATGTGTTCTGATTTTGAGGCGAATTTGATTCTTAATTAGAGAAATTCTACTTCAAGTGCAGAATTTTATTTTATTGGTAGCTTCAAGTAGTTGTATCTGCAATTTGTGATCTTGATTAGGTCTACAAGTCAATAGGAATCGGATTTGTTGAGCCATGATGATTTTTTTCCGGTTAACCTATCGTGTTCGTATTGACAATGAGTTGTGCTTTTCCCTCCCCTTTTTTTTATGCAGGTGGGATTTGCTGTGAATGGCACCATTATCTTGACTTTCATGTGGGTTCTTAGAGCTTTTCTCGAGGTAATTATGTCTCTTCTTCCCCGTGAGCCATGTGAATGCTTGAATGATGATTTATCAGGAAGTGTTGTGTTTATTCTGTGCATGATAATGCTAACGATACTGTGTTTTGGCTCGTCCTTTGTATGCTGATTGTTGTGGGACTTGTAAGTCGTTGAGTCACGACATGAAGAAACATTTGGCAGTGCTTGCAGCTTATAACCATTAACTTCTTGTAATATGAAAGAATCGATAAGTGAAGATAAACTCGGAAAAAAAGAGAGGTAGAGAAATTGTTGATTTTCTGGTTCTCTATAGCCTCGTTCTAGGTTCACCATTTTAGCTGTCTGTTTCTACTTTCTAGTACCTTGTATACAACATCTGGAAATCAAATATGAGGTAATGTAATGAATATTTTGCATTTTATGCTACTGTTAGAGATAGTTTACTGTGCTTTCCTAGAATCTTTTGGGAGATCCTTTTTCTTATTTGTGTGGGTTTGTGTGTGAGTTTTTAGGTAATTTGCACTCTGGGAAGTGTTGTGTTTGTGAGTATATTGCTGGTTCGGGGGATATGGACAGGAATTTCCTATTTCCAAGATGGCCGAGGTTATAGGGAAGATGACGATGAGCCCCAGTCGTGGACCTCAACCCGACCTGCAACATAAAACATATCTTTCTTTCTTCTTTTCTTTTTCATTTTTTCCTTTTTCAGATTTAACTTTTGCAATCTACTTTGAGTAGATTCGATCAACACATACCTACATTGGTAAGGTACGAATTAAACACGGTGCATATATATATATATATACACAGTTACAAGCACAATATTGGTGAGTGTTTCTTGTAATATGACCAACATTTGGCAGAGCTTGTGCCATTGCTCGTGTTCTAGAATAATTGACTTGGCTATGGTTACGCGAACATCTGTTTTCTCTGTCAATACACAGCCATGTTTGAAAAAACTAGTACTAGTATTTATGTATTCTTTGGTTTCTCCTTTAATCTGATTATTGATGCTTGGTTGAACAAGTTTTCAATTGAACTGTTACGAATAATGTGAGAATCTTAAAAGGCTTAAATATGGAAAAAAATAAATATGAAGACAGCATCTTTGCGGATTTTTGCAAAAGGCGCGGAGGTGCGAAAGGCTCTGCTTTTCGGTTGGATTCAGTAAAGAGCTTTCGATTGCGATTTTCATTTCGGTTTTCTGTGAAAGTGGTCTTGAGATGGATTCTTCCTCTGTGCTCTATGATTTGTAGTGGTTTTTTTCCTGGCACATGACCTTGAATTAAGGCTCTACTAACAGCAGGTTCTCATAGGCTGGTGAATTTTGTTCTCTCTTCTAATATTCAGGAACAAAAAACTTTAAGAGTTTACTATTCCAAAAATGCAAAAGGAGAACCGAATATGGGTACTCTCAAATGGCATCAACTTCATCTCTAGAACTTTCTTAGAGGGCAATGAGATTAATCAATCTATTAATTTCCAATGAATAAAATTGTCAACCAGAAACAGGACACAAGAAAAGACGAGAAAATAACCAAACCAAAACAAGGCTTTTATTCATTATTCACACAAGCAGGCCTTACTTAGCAATGTAGTTTTTGCAGCAAGGCTGATTTTGCACAGCTCCCCTTTGTTTAGCAAATCCGTATCCCATCTCAGGTTCTGAGCAAAATATTCGGAAACTCGGAATCTGAAATCGGGGTCGGTATTAAACCTCTCGACAATCCTTTTTGATCGCCTTCAAGATTCTCTTCTCTTCATGGCTCAATCTTGGCTCGGGCTCTAGGTGCATCAATTTCCTTTCCATAATAGCCTCGACGGGCCACCTTAAATTCTTTTCCCCCGATTTCGTTCCTCTTTTTCCACCTTATATCATTTATAATTATAAAGATAGTATCGATATATACAACTCATAATATTTTATGTATAGCTATACATCTGCACAGGCTTAATTAATATTCTGCATAAACAAAACCAAATAAAGATCAACAAAGGCAACAAGACCAAACAAATCCCAACAGTCACATACTCACATTCAACCACACAAAATAGCATTCCCAATTTGCCATAAACCCTAATCCTCTTAACAAATTTATACACTTCCCCACCACTTTACTCAAACCATCTACACACTAGACTCAACTGAACATAAAATCAATCATGCACAACCACCAGCAGTCACATACTCACATTCAACCCCAGAAATACCATTCCCAATTTCCCATAAACCCAAAAATCCTCCTAACTCGAGCCATCTACACGCTAAACTCAACCTGAAATCAATCATGCACAACCTGCAGTCACATACTACACGCTACACTCAGTTTTGTACAAATTTAACTTTTTAGCCAAAATTTTTAAGATATAAATAAATTAAAATATTATGTTATTTTATTAAAAACATATTTAAAATATACAAAAAAAAATCAAGAAGCGATATAGATATGAAAGCAGATTCCATTTATATCCAACTAGAGAGCAACGATCAAACCCCTTTTTGGCCAATTCAAAAATTAAAATAGAGAGCAAAATTATCAAAATCCTTTGGCCAATCAATCCAAGTAAACTATCTATCCAATCCAAGCTAATCCAAACCAGATATCCTCGTCAACCCCTTTTCCTCTTACCCAAATCCATCCCAATCAATCCAGCACAACCAGCTCTTCATACTCCTTCCCCGCAATCGCCAGATCCATAACAGCCTGGGGACTGATAATCCTACCTTCCTCCAAAAACACTTTCATCATATTCTTCGAATAACCACTCACAAGCGCCACTCCCGGCTGCCCCGCCGCCACCGGAGTTGCCGGAGAATCTCTCAGATTCCAAAACACAATCTCCGGCACACATTCCCCATACCCTTTCTCCCCAAACTTCCTCACAATCGCCTTGTAATCAGTCTCCCACGGCTTAGACGCCTCGTCAAATTCCATGTCACTGAAAACAAGCACCCTCTTGATCATCTCTTCCGGCTTCAGTTTCCCATCCACCGCCACCTGAAGCAGCAAGTCAAACACCTTCTGGAAGTCCGTGTTCCCGCCCCAATCCATCTCCATCACAAACTCAGTCTTCTCCTTCAGGCTGGAACCCTCCACTGTTTGAAGCTTGGGTCTTTCGCTGAAAGTAATCACTTTCCCTTTCACTTTCCCTCCGTGTTTCGTGCTACTATTAGATATTTATATGTTAACATTGAACATAGAATTATAAATTGACATATCAAATCTAAAAGTTTATCTATATATATGCAATATAGATACCGAATTAAAAACTATAAAAATATTTATTTATTATATTACATGCAGATATTGTATTAGTTATGACTTTTTCTATTTTACCTTGAAATATTCCGAATATAACGGAAAAAATTAATATTGTGTTTGATGTTCAAAAATAAATAAAAACATATATTAAAATAAATGATTTTAAATAAAAAATTTACTTTAAAAATTATTTTAATGATTAATTAAATGAGATTGATAATTTATTTTTATAAGAAAAAATATAATATATAAGAAAAAGAACTCATACTCATAAATGGGAAGAGAGACAAATAATAAGTGGGATATTGGAATAAGAATTCATAATAAATAATTATGTATAGTATTAAATATTATTTTTTACAAATAATTATGTCACTCACAAGGCATAAAAATATTTAACTGAAATTTGTACAATAATTGATTATGACTAAAATAAGTATTTATTTATAACAAATAATTATGATATTGTTTGAATGATAAATAATACACATAAATTAACAAAATTTATTTCATGGTTAAGTAGTTGAAGCATTTATTTAGCCAAGAGAAATTGGAGTGCAAATTCCAATACAATTATGAATACAAATTATTTATTCATATGTAACAAATATTTTTTTATTGATAAATCATGCATAGAAATTGATAAAAATTTATTTCAATGTAGTAAATGTAGTTTTTGATGAAAATTTTACATAAAAGTTGGTAAAATTTATTTCTAGTAATTAATATAATTTTGGAGGGAAAATTCCAGCTGCTTCAGTTTAATATATATAGATTGGATTCAATGCAGTCCATATCCAACATTAAGATTAATAATGTCATATGTGTTATAAAATATTTTTAATATTATCAACTCTTTGAACTTTCCTGATGTTTATACATGTCAGACTACTTTTAAATAAGTGAAAATAATACATTGCCCTTATTACATAACACAAATAATAATAATAATAATAATAATAATAATAATAATAATAATAATAATAATAATAATAATAATTATCATTTGTAATCTCATGAATTATAGTTATACATTGATCGACATTGAGTAGAGTTGTCAAAATGGGTCGACGGGGCGGGCCGACGCGTAGCCCGTCAAAGTCCGCCTTTTGGCCCCGCCGGCCATCGTGGCGGGCCTAAGAAAAGCACGCCCAACCTGCCCGCCAGGGGCCGCGGGTTTGACGGGCCAGGCCCGCATATAATTTTTTATTTTTTTAATTAACCTGGGCTGCTGACTTGGGCCCGAGATTATAATAATATTTTTTGAATATGCTTTAGTAATCTTCTAACAAATAATATAAGTTGCCGCACGAAGCCCAACAGGTTTTCAGCTGTTAGATGAACCGCCGGGGGAAGCTCGGCAATGGCTACATCATGATGTTCTCGGGGTCGCACACCCACGAAAAGTTCTAATATCTTGCATCTAGGCATTTGCCTCTCTTCTTTGTACCAAAAAAAAAAAAAA